GGATCGCCGATGAAGTCACTTTTCGAGGCTGTTTTGTCCAGTTCTCCGGAGACTAGTGTGCGGCGACTAGCGATGACGCATACGCAGAGACTCGCGCTCAGCGCTCCCCACTCCCGACAGTCCCGACTCGGCTCCGTTCGTCGGCTAGACACACACTGAACCAGCTAAAATAAGTAGGCCGGTAATAAGTCTGAAATTGAGTCCATATATGAATATTATCTCGGAGTAACATACATTAATGGATTCATTATGGCTTTGAATATCTATTTCAAGCAAAATTTGCACAAATTAATACCGATGGAATTAAAAAAAGTCGAAAAAACACAAGCAGTCGCTGATTTCTCCATAAGCCACCGTGTAAAAAAATGCCGGTTGGTTCACACTTGGTATAAGTCAGAAATTAAATTTCTATATGAATTTTATCCAGGAGTAATATACATCAATGGATTCATTATGACTTTGATTATCTAATTATAGCAAAATTTGCACAAATTAATATCGATGAAATTAAAAAATGTCGAAAAAACACGGACAGTCGTTGCTTTTCCCGTAAGCCGCCGTGATAAGAAATGCCGGTTGGTTCACACTTGGTATAAGTCAGAAATTAAATCCCAATATGAATATTATCCAGGAGTAATATACATCAATGGATTCATTATGGCTTTGACTACCTTTAAATAGCAAAATTTGCAAAAATTAATGCTGATTGAATTATGAAATACCTAAAAAACACAAGCAGTTCTTGATTTCTCCATAAGCCGCCGTGTTACAAAATGCCGTTGGGTTCGCAAATGGTTCACTATTTTCGGAGCACACGCGGCTCGGAAACGCCTGTTCATGGATTGGCTTCATCGCCGCTCCAGTACTTTGCGACTCTATTGTACTCTATGAATTACTGGCGGCGACCTCAGTCTTACTCTGAAGTGGCTCTAGTCTACGTCAACTGGGCTTGTTATCGGAGGTATTCTCCGTTTTGCGTCATCGCGGGTGACGAACAAGAATCGGTTGATGAAACGGGATACTGAACGGTTAATAGAGATTGACGTCACTGTTTCCAACGCTACTCAGCAGGGCGCGTCAGACGATGAGAAATAAGGAACGCCAGTCAGTGGCGTGAACATCGATCCTTTTATCCCGGTTAAGACAGGTGCATCCTGTTTTACTCCTGTCATACCTACCTATTTCGGTAAAAATCCTCCCTTTTATCCCGGTTCATATCAATAAATCCCGTTTTATACCTGTCACTCCTGCTTATAATCAAACGATATATCGAAGACCGACATACAAAGAGCGATATTCTTCCTATTATCCCGGTTAATATCAGTAAATCCCGTTTTATCCCTGTCATTCCTGTTTAGGTAAAATTCCTCCCTTTATCCCGTTCATATAAAAAAATCCCGTTTAATACCTGTCAATACAGCTTGAAATCAAACGATGTATCGAAATTCATTATACCATGAGCGATATTCTTCCTGTTATCCCGGTTGATGAAAAAAGTTACGTTCCGTTTTATCCCTTTCAATCCTCTTTAGGTAATATTCCTCCCTTTATCCTGGTTCATATCCATAAATCCCGTTTTATACCTGTCAATACAGCTTTAAATCAAACGACATATCGAAGTCGGATATACCATGAGCGATATCCTTCCTTTATAACGGTTTATTAACATAAGTACATCTCGTTTTATCCCTGTCAATCCTGTTTAGGTAAAATTCCTCCCTTTTATCCCCGTTCATATCAATAAATCCCGTTTTATCCCAGTCAATACAGCTTAAAATCAAACGATATATCGGAGATAAATATACAAAGAGCGATGTTCTTCCCTTTATCCTAGTTAATGAATATAGGTCCATCCCGTTTTATTCCTGTCATTCCTGTTTAGGTAAAAATCCTCCCTTTTATCCCGGTTCATATCAATAAATCCCGTTTCATCCCAGTCAATACAGCTTAAAATCAAACGATATCTCGACGATCGATTTACAAAGATCGATATCCTTCCCTTTATCCCGGTTTATTCCTATAAGTACATCCCGTTTTATCCATAGCTATCCTGTATAGGTAATATTCCTCCCTTTTATCCCGGTTACTATGAAGAAATCCCTTTTTATTCCAGTCAATACAGCTTAAAATCGAAGGATATCTCGCCGATCGATATACAAAGATCGATATCCTTCCCTTTATCCCGGTTTATTAATATAAGTACATCCGGTTTTATCCACGACTATCCTGTATAGGTAATATTCCTCCCTTTTATCCCGGTTACTATAAGAAATCCCGTTTTATCCTGGTCAATACTGCTTTAAATCAAACGATAAATCGAAGATCGATATATGAAGATCGATATCCTTCCTGTTATCCCGGTTTATTAATATAGGTACGTTCCGTTTATCCGTAGCTACCCCGTTGAAGATCGATGTCCTTCCCTTTATCCCGGTTTATTAATAAAAGTACATCCCGTTTTATCCATAGCTATCCTGTATAGGTAATATTCCTCCCTTTTATCCCGGTTACTATGAAGAAATCCCGTTTTATTCCAGTCAATACCAGTGGCGTGGCGTGAATTGCGATATATCGATTGGTATGCCGTTTAAACCTATGGTAAAGAATCGATTATGAAGGTGTTCGCTGCGAACACCCTGTTTATCGATCCTTTTCCATGGGTTTACATGGCATAATAATCGATATGTCGCAAAGCACGCCACGCCACTGGTCAATTCAGCTTAAAATGGAACGATACATCGAAGATCGATATGTAAAGATCGATATCCTTCCCTTTATCCCGGCTTATTAATATAAGTACAGCCCGTTTTATCCATAGCTATCCTGTATAGGTAATATTCCTCCCTTTTAGCCCGGTTACTATGAAGAAATCCCGTTTTATTCCAGACAATACAGCTTAAAATCGAGCGATATATCAAAGATTGATATATAAAGGTCCTTTTACGAAGACGAGCGTAACATCCCCGGAGCCTCCGGAGGGATTCGAACCCTAGTCGCGGCGGTGGCAGGCCATCATATTGCCACTAGGCTATGGCCACTACGTGGTTGGCGAGTGCAAATTGAAGCCTTTTAGGTGGATCGGCGCTTCGCAACATTACAACTTTTGTCATTGCGTAGACTGACACCGAGTTCTCATTGGAATTTTTTTTTCATTTTCCCTCCTCTGTATTACATTTCATACCTTGAAGTACGGTTGGTAAAATAAGGTTCTATTGGTAATCTCATCATTCTGTCTCTGTAAAATTACCAATAATAGTGAGATGGCAAAGTTACCGATGGACGTCGGTAAAAACGCCAATATTTTTTATCGACTACGGTAGAATTACCGAGATAAAATGGTAAAGTTACCGAGAATTGATTACCAATAAAAGTGGTATTCTTACGTGAAAAAATCAGTAAAAATACCGGTTTTTAGGTAAGCTTACCAGTCTGTCTTTGTAACATTACCAATAATTGGTAAAAATATGAGATGGTAAAGTCACCAACGGACCTTAGTAAAAACGGCGGCGGCGGCATGGAAACATCTTTCATAAGCGTCATTCATGCGTTAGTGGGCGTTGATAAAAAATTGCAATTTATTGCAATTTTATCTCTATAAGATCGCGTTCGATAAAATCGCGATTTTACTGCAATTTATCACGATTTTTCGATTCAATGTTTGGTAATGTTGAGTAAACTAATTTAAAGGGGGGTTCGGACCCCCGAATACGTCATTTTAAAGGTCTTACGAATTTCTCGCAAATTGAGCCAATTTCCCTTTACTTTTCCTCAAAAATATCTTAGTAAGTTCAAAATTAGTTCAATATTAAGTTTTTAAGTCCCCAAATTCCGAACAAAGTTTTAAAAAAAAGTGGAATTTCAATGGTTGAATTGAATCGCCTTAAATTTCGTTTTTTGAACTTTGCTCGTTTGGGGACTTGACAACGCAATGTTGAACTAATTTTGAACTTACTAAGATAATGTTGAGGAAAATTAGGGGGAAATTGGCTCATTTCGCGAGAATATCGTATGACCTTCTAAATGACGTATTTGGGGGTCCGAAACCCCCCTTCAAATTAGTTTCAACTCATTTCTGTGATTTTTATTTAAAAGTGCTTACGATTTGGTAAATTTTCCCGTATCATATTTTTCTTTACGTTAATTTGAACCGGAGTTATGATTTTTTGAAAGTAGGTCAAATTTGACCTTTGACCTATCATAACTCGGTCAAAAATTAAGATATTGATTTGCAATTTGCGCCAAAATGCTTAGTTTTTTATGTTCTTTTTAATGATGTATCACAAGATAGAGGTCACCATTTGAAAAAAAAGTTGGGGGGGGGGACGAAAAAATTTGTACCCCCCTAGAAGATGGTCCCCTTCAAGATCGAAACATTCCCAAAGTTTCCTTTTTCTATCTCTAATCGTTCAAAAGTTACGAGGGAAGTTACGGACTTTTGGGACACCCTGTAAATGATGTAAAGGGCTTAAATACGAGAGGCAATTATAAATGGATTAATTATATTATAGGTGAAACTAGACCACGTATCTCGGTTTGCGACATCGTAAATTTCCTGTCATTCTTGATTTTTCATATGGAAAACCACTTACCTAACGTCATTAATTGAAAACTTCCTTGATTTTTCCTCCCAGTGTCAGGCAAATTCTGTGAAAACTTCAATGAATGATAAGTATTGGTTTGTTCTCCTCCACAAAAATAGAACAGGAGTTGAGCTTTTTAAACACCGCTAACGAGATACGAGGTTTGGTAGTTTCATTGTCGACTTATGTCCCCACTCTGTAAAGGGATTACCTATACGCAGATATTTTCAAAAAAATTTCATGTTCCAACTCACAACCATTGAAACTCTAGTATATCCTACTGATGTTTTGATTTCAACATGCAAAATATTAAAAACGTTAGTTGTAGAGACAAAAATGATCATAATACTTACCTCGACGATAATGCTTATTTATCTCTTGAGCGCCAGAATGAAATTGCGGTTCTTGCTTCTTTTCCAGTTGTTAAGGCTGACAGAGGATGTGATAGAACATTTGGTTCAAGAAAAAGAAGACGCCTTTGGTAAAAATGTTGGTCTAGTTTATCTTAATAAAGTAAGTATTCACTGTCATTAGATGTACCTATTAATCCTTATTTTTCTATTTTTCGAGATATATATATATATATATATCGACGGTGAAAGTCAGCAATCAAATAACTCGGTTTGCGACGTCGCAGACTTCCTGTCATACTTTATTTTTTAAATGGAAACCTACTCAACGGCAATTCCTTAAAACTGTCATGATTTTTCTTCTCAATGCGAAGAAAATTCTGCAAAAACTTCAAGAAATAATATCAATTTGTTCTCCTCTAAAAAAATGATATAGAGGCGGAGATTTTCAGACACCGCAAACGAGTTATTTGATTGCCGACTTTCACCGTCGATATGCCTGTCTTCCCAGAGGTTATCGGGCAACTGACCTCGCAACATCTCTTCGTCAACACCCTGCCGCCTCGCCTTTACGGGACGTCCCCGTCGCCTCTTCCCAGGTGGTAGGTACCCAATCCAAAACTTGTTTGGATTGGGTACCTACCACCTGTAGGCCTGGGTTGTTGTAACCTCTCCTCCGACATTCTTTGCACATGTCCGTACCAGTATAACTGGTTGGACATGACGTCGTGCACGATATCATTTTCAACCTTCATTACCTGGCGAATTCTCTCAGTACGGACACGGTCCCGTCTCGAAATGCCGGCAGATCGCCGCCAAAAATCCATTTCAGTTCCCTCAACATTTCTTGCGTTCTTTTCGTCAAAGGCCACACTTCACTACCAGACACTTTTAACGATGGCGTCATATATCAGGTGCCTGTTTGCCTTTGAAATTCTCTGATCCCAGAGCACCCCGTTCCGCATCGCGATGGCTCTCCTGCCCTGGATGCAGTGGCGTGGCGTGAATTGCGATGTATCAATTATTCTGCCATTTAAACCTATGGTAAAGAATCGATTATTAAGGTGTTCGCTGCGGACACCCTGTTTATCGATCCTTTTCCATAGGTTTAAATGACATAACAATCGATATATCGCATAGCACGCCACGCAACTGCCTGGATGATCCTGTCCTTAATCGCCCTATCCATCCTTCCATCCTGATCTAGCCAGACACCGAGATACTCATATTCGTCACACTCTTCGATGCGCCGTCCATCCTCAAGCTCTATGCTTTGCCGTTGATGCGCTGCTCCCACGAACAGCTTCTATGTCTTGGACACACTAACACCCATGCCCCATTTCCGATATTCTTCGACCAACTTCCGCGCCATGTAATCTGCATCTTCTACATCTCGAGCTACTACGATCTGGTCATCGGCAAAGCATAGAGTATAAAGGTTCTGCCCATCAAGGAGTGGAACGCCCATCCCCGCAACCTTATTTTTCCATTCCTTCAACACGTGCTCTAGGTATACCTTAAATAGTGTTGGTGACAAACAGCAGCCCTGTTTTAGCCCTTTTGTGACGAAGAAACCTCCGGACAATTCACCACGAGATTTAACTCTTGCTGTCGTTCCGTTATAAAATGATTTAATTGCCCCCACAAGTCCTTTGCTAAAACCATTTTTTTCCAAGGCTTCCCAAAACTTCACCAACGACACGTTGTCATAAGCTTTCTGAAGATCCACAAACACCAAGTGCAGCTCCTGGCTGACCGCCCTTTTCTTCTCGATGACCGGGGTAATGGTGAACAAATGGTCGACGGTAGAACCACCCGCTCTAAAACCAGTCTGTTCTTCGGCTTCCTGGCTGCTCAAAACCTCTTCAACTTTTGCCCTTGAGAATTTAACCGTGGACCTTGCCCAAGGTTCCTGTGACCGATGTACCTCTGTAGTTACCGTAATCTCGCTACCCTAGTAGCAGAGCTACTTTCACAGTATATAAACGAAGTATAACTGTTATATAAAGAGCGTAATCATATAAAAAATGTATAATAAAAGTATAACGGTTACATAAAATATATATAAAGAACGTATTTATATAAAAAATTTATAACTTGAAGTATAACGATTACATAAAACATTTTTACAAATAAATTTTATATAAATTAATTATAAAGGTTATACACGGAATTTATTAAAAAAAATTTATTTTCTTAAGTAACGAACATAACTTCGTTATAAAATGATCATATAAATAAACAATAAATGTTACTTAATCAACTTGTAAAAGGAATTAGTATTAGAGATTAAGAGAAGATTCTGGATCAGCAGCTAAAGTCAGAATATTCTCAGAGTGTTCATCATCTTCCACTACGCATGTGTAGGAGAATCCTCCAGCTACTTTTGCATCATGCAAGGTAACAACGGATGACATACGTTGTGCAAACATGCTCAATAGAATAGAAAATGAACAAGAACCACTCACCAACTTGCTCAAATCAGTAATCCACTGGATCAGGAAAATCCACTTGACAACAATGAATCCAAATTTCCAATTAGAACTGGTATAAGTACAGAGAAACACTTGAATACGCTACGGATGGGTTGTAAAAAAATCTTAAGCACTCTTTAGCGTAAGAAAAAAATTAGCACCATGATTTAATAGCTGATCAATACAGAACAGCACTGTCTTAGAAAAGCACAGACACAACACCATTTTTCACTTTATTTTTACTTCTAGTAGAGAAATGCATTTTTCAAAGGATGCGACATCATCGACCATTGCTCGACAGCAATGAATAAGATAAAAATAAAGCTTAAATAATTTCACAATTTACTCCGATCATAGATGATATTAAGGTAGCCATTGATTCTTTACCCAACGTCCTTTTCACACATAACAAGAAACGTCAAAAGGTATAGAGCAAATGGCACTAAGCAGTGACGTACTATCGCCGAATTTAGTTTCACGCAGAGTCTCTGGTGACTATTTAGCGACGGCGCACACTGGCGGGTAGTCACGCTTTTGCGGCAATAATTCCAAACTGTTGAAATGCTTAAAACACGGCAAGTAGAAGTTTGGTATGATCACTTGATTATCGGAAATCATTTTTAAAGTTGTGAAGTTCAACCTCCCCCCCCCCTTCGCAATTTTTGAGCAACTCGCACATGAAATGCACTGCAATAAGTATAAATGACGTCGAAAATGTCCTGAATAATACTATTAAAAATGTGTATAAGAAGGGAGAACAAGTAACTCATTACCATTCTAGAATTTTTTAAAACCATAAATTGCATAACCATTGGAAGTGAGCCACTTTTTAAATTTTAACTCGAAGCCGCTTTCCTTATTCGATGCATTTGCTTCCATTTGCTTTTAAAGTGAGGAGCAAATCGTTATCTCACTTCTGCAATAACAAAATTTTTATGTCTGTCACTTTAATTCTTGTGTTTGCTTTCAATAAACTTCAGTACGTTATATTCTGCGAACAAAGCATTGCATAGATGCCCGTGATTAATCGTAAACATCGAGCTTCTCTCGAATGTAAATCACCGACTAAATGCCCGGTATCTTGACCCATGACATGCCCTTGTCTCTATGCCCATCACTTGGAGAAGTCATTGTTTTAAAAAGTTTTTTGATTCCGTATCGTATCCATGTTCCATAGATTAGGCCAAAAATGAGATAAAATGTCATCGCTGAAAGAGTCGTATCAGAGCGATGCGGGATGCGGTACGTGCCGTCGTGCGACGCGCCGAATTTCTCATCTCCCACCTCGCACCTACGCTCACTAAAACCTCTCTATCTTTCAACCCTGCAGCTATCTGCAAAATCTTTTTTCACCATTCACTCTTCAGACTATTACCTATACGCCTATATAAGTCTCAAAGTGGAGCTCAGTGGAGCTTTTTTTTAAATGAAACCCAAAACAAAAAAAAACGCATTTTTCTCCACTTAGGTTCAAGTGTCAATATTGGCACGAATAAGAGATTTTTATGAGCATGTTACTTATGATTTTGTAGCTTAGATGATTCACTTACAGAGTATAATGTCGGTTTTCGAAAAAAAAAATCTTGCTATTGACTTATAGGCGATGACCACTTTAGCACCAAAAGTAGCTATTTTCTTCGATACCCGACAAGGGTCTGTTTGAAAATCATTGAGCGAGGAATAAATAAAATTGATGCTACAACTTGATAGTCTGTAGCATAAGCTACAAAATCATCCAGATACTTTTACTTTCTGGGTTGGAAAAAAAATTGTCCACCTCCTGAACTTTTTCCGCCCACCCGCCAGTGTGCGGCGCGGCGCGGCGCGTTGCCTGATAACGCTCTCATGAAGACGCACTGGTTCCTCTGTGAGCGCGTAGTCACTAACACAGACGCACATGAAACACACACAGACATTTTCACTCATTCACCGTGAGAATTCACGTTTTTGGCTCTTTGGAATGTAAACAAAGATTTGTAATGACGTATCGCGCATCGATTCCAATTCTCACTTGCCTCTTGTTCTTGTGACTAGAGCAAGGAAGAAAGGACTTCATTCCAAATTGTCCGTTTCAACCTTGGCCTGATCTTCGAAATATTTTCAAAGTTGATAGAGGATCTCCTCCCAAGTCTAAAACACTGACGCATTTTGAAATCGGACGATCACGGAGGGAGGGGGAGGGGAGTCAAAGTAAAAAAATTAAACTCGCATATCTCGCTAACGCTTTGTCGTAGAAAGATGATATTGGTCTCAAAATGTAGAGAAAACCACCATCTTTCAGGCGATAATTACAAAATTGGTCCATTTTGGAAAAATCATCCATTGTTGCCACGTTGCCGAAGTTCAAATGTTCAGTTTTTCACCTTTTTAGCTGCGACGTTGAAGGAATCGCACAAAAAGTAATCTAACTATTTTTTGATGAAAGTAGACCGTTTAAGCTTTAAAACACGCACAAGTTCATCCTGGGGAAACAAGTTTGAGGAGAGATATGATTTTTCAAAGTGGATGTGGTACACTTGGACCTGGTTTGTTCCGAGTCCCAAGATCACCAAATGCCCCCAAACCAATCACGAATTGCAAGGTTGTGCATTTTTATACCCCATTATAGCTAATTCCCGAAGAAAATTATTAAAAAAGAACAAAATATCGCGACATATGAATGTTACAAGACTAGCCTCAGCTGACTCTC